CACTGTGGAGTAGGGAAGTGTTACCAGAAGTAAGGAGGCCCAAGCAATGTCCTAGATATTCTCCAGGAGGTAGCACCATGTCTGGTAAAGCAGCACAGTCTCCAATTCACATATGCACATCACCCCACAGTAGCAAACAGCATTCCCACACCACAAGCCTCCCCAGCCCCAGGAAGCTGGGCAGTTTTCTGCTCTCGCCCAGGTAACAAAGGCCAATCTCTGCAGAAGTCATTAAGGAGAACAGCAGGTGTTGACAGTTTCTTATGCAAAACAAATCACACATGTTTTCCAGTTTCTACTAAGTGTAGGGGGACTCATGTTGTCCTCCCTTTGATTGCTGTAATTTGGGAACATAAGTAGTACTTAAATACTTGCTCATTGAAGATATACGGCAAATGTATGTTTACGTATTTATGAGAAAAACTGCAAGTTTTCTGCTTTACTCATTTTTGCTTTAATCAGTGCCCTGACATTTAATCCCAGTGAAGCTGTGAGCTCTGCTTTCAGTGTTTTCACTGGTAAATGTCACTCTGCCACAGTGCTGCATTCACCGACTCTGAAGTAGCTTTTATCAGCAGTGGTGCCATGTGCCAGTGTTCTCAGTGTGCCAGACTGCTGGCTTAGCTTATTTTCTTTCAACAGCTGTGGAAAATATCTGAAATGTAAAAGCAAGAACTATTCAATTTTTATATGAAAGTGATTAAAATTAAATTAGATTTATAGAGTAGCTAAAGATAAATTTTGTATTCTGATCCTCTGTTTTTAAACCTCCATTAATATACAGCTTGATTAGTTTATTTTATGGTTTAAAGTCTGGTTAGATTGAATTAGTAGAGGTTTTTAGTATGTACAACTTAGTTTACGACCTAGCTGTGAACCCAGGCAGCTAGTGAGCCAATTCAGCAGTGAGGTGGACATTTCTTTGCATTAGAGGTGCATGTAAGTGGTGTAGAGAGACCTGTAGCACTGGCTTCTGGAACAATCTCTTACCACTTGTTGGCAACAAAGTCAGATAGCCCAGTGACCAGGAAAGTCCTTCGGCAGTTGCAGTTCAAAGGTGATACAAAAATTGTCTTTTGCCCCTTCTTTCCCCCTTTCTGCTGCCTCCTTAAGGGAGGCTGAACCAAATAAACCAAAGATTTTTGAGACATATCCCATGTAACACAAATATTCTACAGGCAGCCTTATAGCTAAAGTAAATACATATTGGGAAACACCCTGAACAGCTGATTGACCTTGTAGAGGCCCTGGTCCCTTCTTGCCCAATAGGTGCCTGTCTCATCCCTACATACTAATTAATGATTGTCATTGGATTCACTGAGAGATATTCTGTTGGAGAGGAAAAACAAAAGATGGTCTTTTCAAGGTGTAAGACATCAATCATTCTCCAAAAGTTACTTTTGAATAGTTTTTTAAAATTCACTAGTAGGACAGGTCACCTTGTCTTACATATTTAAGCAAAGCTGTACATGATTCAGTTCCTTTCCACAATCAGCAAGTGTATACTGACAGGAGCTGAACAGCAGCATTTCTAGCCTACAGATTCTGCACTAGTTCCTCTTCTTTATGAGGCACATATTTGTTTTCTCAGAAGTTTCCCCTGTATCCCTTGAGGAGTGTATGATGTTGGATTCTGAGCAGAAGGAACACTGGTCTTTCCTGCTGACAGTGTGAGAAGGAGTAAGTAGGACTGGTCAGACCAGATTTTTGGAAGGGAATTGCCACTGCAATTGCAACTACAGTTCTAGGTAGGACATGTCTCTAGACACGCACCGAAGGTTAACTGAAGGTTAATTTTTAATGTTCAGAAAGATTGATTACTAGTTCTGATTTACAGATCATGACCCCCAATTCAGATAGGAACCGATTTGTCTGTGGCCTTCAGCAGGTTTATATCAGTGTCTCTTTCAGGGGCCAGTTCCTAAATCCAAGCATTTTGGAATGGCAACATCTATAATCAGAGTCTTTTATGAGCATTTGGCATACATAAATCCTATAAAGCCACGTCTGCTTTGTCTTGTTTGAACTGATACGTCTGGAAGGGGAAAGAGCAGAGGACATGAGTTATGATCATATCATGGTTTTTTAGAGATGCCAAGTCCATAATTTTCCTGATCCTTTCTCCTGCATGCAAGTGCTTTTCCATGAATCAAAGGGCACTTGAGAAGCAGCCTACAAGTTAGTCAGTAGAAAGTATAAATTGAGTGAATGATATCAAAACCTGGATATAGGAGAGCTATTTTATGATTTTAATTTTGATTATTGCTTTTCTGTTTTGCACCTCAGCAAAATAACAGCAGCTCAGTGTGGCCGTTAGAGCTGCAGAGGTTCACAAATTTACTGTTATTTCATTACATGATCTTTTGTGAGTACACTTAGTTTGGAATTCATTGTGGCTTTTACCTTTGTGTGTGCATCTAGACAAAAGAATACCAAATACCAAAAAGGACTGGAGGTGCTAGCCAAGTTTAATAAAGGGGGGAAGGAGGATGAAATGTATGGCACAATGGCTTGATAAAGACCATGATTGTAATAATTCAGCTTTTTATAAAACCTGTTCTACAATTCTCAGCTTATGGGCTGAGAAGAATGTCAGGATGTCTACCTGACCTAAATCATATCCACAATTGGTATTTTTTTAATCTCAGACTGTAGAAAGTTAAGAGACCAATGTGAAACTCCTTGTTTAGACAACTGTATTGAGTTCTCAGATGGAGGCTAAAAGAGTGCAGAGCCTTTCCAGAAGGAGGAGAGGTGGAAGGGCAGGGAGGCAGAATAGGTAGGGATGCAGAGGGAGATGAACCACAGAGAAAACCAGGGAAGAAAGGGTGGGTGGGAGACATCTCAGAGGCTTGGGTAGAGTACAGAGAAACCTGAAAATTGATGACACTGAGGAAAGAACAGGGGAGAGAACAGTAATACAGCAGAGAAAGAGCTTGAAGATGAGATAATATGTGTACTCCAGGTAGCTCTACTAAAGGAAAGTGTTCAGCAGTGGTGCCCATTTTTATCTCTTCACTTAAAGCTGAATTCTGAATATGAAATCAGTAGTTAGACTGTGTATTCAACTCACAAAAATAAGTAGTAAATAATTTATTGGGACAGTTTTGGTGCTTCTCATGCACTTGTCTGAAATAGTCCAACTTCTGCATCTGGTGGGTTTTGCCTGCAGACAGAGGAGAACACTCCACATTGTTTCCTATTCCTTTATTTACAGTACAGGAACAGATGTTATTGCAAATAGAGATACCTAAACCTGCTTTAATTTACATATCAGTATTACCAGTATCATGATCAACATCCATGCAAATTAATCAAACTTGTCAAGAAATAGGGCAAAATGCATGGTTTAGTTCACAGGTATGGAAAAGTTTCTATGAAATCCTAAAAGGCAGTGTGTGTGGTTGGTTGATGTCCTTGCTCACCAAGCCAGTTGTATAAAATACAACTTGTTCATTCTCAGCAGATTGAAGAGTTTAAAGTCTCCTGGATTTACTTGAAGTCAGGCTCAGCAGGAGGTTTGAAACCACAGTATATTACTCTGGTTTCAAAATAGCATGCAAAGTTGATGTGTTCAGCTTCTTTGCTTCTTAGCCATATAATTGCTTATAAAATCAGTGCACCACTGCACGTTTCAAATACAGGAATGTGTGGACATTGATACCCTAAAATTAGAAGATTAAAACTGTATACAGCATGTTGCTTGTAAGGGATTTTGAGAAAACGTCAGCAAGTCCTGCATGAATAAATAGTTCAAGATCAACAAGAAAATTTTGAAAATAGTATTACATTCTGTTGATTCTGATAAGAAACCTACAGCAGTATGGCCATCACATCCCCAAGTTTGACTTCTGGGGCTATGATAAAGGCAAAGTATAGGTGAGAGAGTTTAGGACTCAGTAGCACCGAAGCTGTTGCCCCTTTTAACTGAGGCAAGGTGTTGCCAGCCAGTGGGATCTTGCCCTGAAGCTGGGAAGGAAACATTCTGAGTTGATTGCTACAGCCCTGAAAGAGAAACTCAGATTTTTTTTTTCTCCCCACCAGTATAATATCTTTCACAGGCTGGTGAACTGGGAACAAAAAAAAAAAAAATGTGAGTTTATAGGATATAGAGCCATGATTTTATAAAAGAACTCTTTATTTCCATGTAACTCCAGCTGTGCAGAAAACTGCTGATTACATGGTAGTATTTAAGTTTAGTAAGAAATTCCTTGCCTGAAATCCATTTTGATACCAAGCAGAGTGCCTAATATACCCTGGTTTAAACCTTTTACTTTTAAGCAATCTGTTTTTCAGTTGAACAATGTCTAAAATTAAAAGAGTACTTCTTTTTGCTGTTAATGTTTGTAAGTGAATTTGAGATCCTCTGCTACAAGGACGTGATATGTTTTTACCAAAACACCTTCTTCTGTATGCTTGTAACTGTCTACTAATGTTATTAAAAATAAAAAATAAAATCCAGTCATGCTTATCAGCTAATAGATTCTCGTGAAGGTCCTAATTCATCAGCACATTTTTGGTGAACTCTTAAGTGTTTTGCTGACTTAAGCCAAAATTCAAGAGGTTTATAACTGGATCTCAGGTTTAGTAATCCTAATTAAACTTCTTTCAACTTATTAGGTGCATAGATTTCATGACTGATACAACACAAAGCTGTGACTGAGTTTGGAAATTGTTGTAAGTTATATACCCAAGGAACTCTAAACTTTTCCTTCATAGAAATTAACTGTGACACATCAGAGCTCTTCTCCTCCTCCATGACATGTAAATAAATACTTTTTGGCAGCTACTTTGAAATAATGTCTTTTCTTTACCTCCCCCATTTTTTCATATTCACTTGCTTTTTCTGGGGTTTTTTTTGTGCTTTTTTTTTTTTTAATATATTTGGAAATATGTTTTTTTGTGTAAATGTAACGTTGAATGAATATAAACCCTTTTAATTCTTTACTGTATGAAAAAAACTCATGGTTTACTTTTGTAATATGTTTCATCTCTTTTAGATATTGTGCAATGGACCAGGAACATGTGTTCCTGTCTGTATATCTGCTCTTCTTCTTGGCCTTCTAGGAATAAAGAGATCAATCATTGTATATGTAGAGAGCATCTGCCGTGTGGAAACTTTATCGCTCTCTGGAAAGATCCTTTACTACTTTTCAGATTATTTCATCGTTCAGTGGCCTGATCTAAAGGAAAAATATCCCAAGTCGGTATATCTTGGTCGAATCGTGTAACAACAGAAGACAAGCTTTACCTAAAATAAACTCTGCAAACTCCTCACTGAAGAATTGCATTCATGTAGCGATTTATTTTCAAGAGTTACCGTTAAGAAATTAGGCTGATACTAGAAAATGAGGCAATAATAAAGATATATCTACATTTAAGTAAAATTTTTGTGTTGTTGTATTTATTGCTGTCATGTAGGTCTGTTTACCAATACCCCATAATGGCTTTTAAGTCGATGCTGTCTCTGTGTTCGTCTAGTTTTCCTGCTACATGAATGGTAATTTTTGTCTACAAATAAATATGGGAATTTGTATGAATGTAACATTTCCTTTAAGGAAACTTTGTGTAGTTTTCTAAATTGTAAGCAACAAAGTCTTTTTCTAGCACAACAGACTTTATTTCCTGTATGCTAGCAGTGAAGTCCCTTGTGAATCCTTAGAGTATAAAGGAAACAGTTATATTAAGTTGGCTTCATGACAGTTTGTACTCTACAGCCTTCCAAAACCCCCAAAGCATTAAACCAGTGTCATTTTTCCTTTGGTCTTGTCAAAGCTGTCCTTATAATCTGTTGTGCACCTTTTGAAAATTGTTGCTCAGTTCTTAAGATAAATCAAAAGGTGACAAGTGTCATGCTACAGGCACAATACTTACCAATTTAAGAAGTACTTTCTTCAAAGCTTATGTGCAAAAAGCCTTACCAAGTCTACATCAAACAGAGTAAACTGTCAATTGGGAAAACAACAGGTTCAAGCTCTGCAATATAGAAAAAATGTTACTGTCAGTAATAAGGGAAGGAACAGAGTTTCCCTCTCTTTTCCTGATACAATGAATCTGACTTTCAGTATATCCTGTTTTCTAAATTTAAGCACCTTACTTTCAGCAGTACAAGCTCTTAAGCAGCAGTACATGCTCTTAAGACTTTGCCATGGAAAATAGTATTCTGTACACTGGAACAGCTTTTAAAAGGTATTTTGTTGGAGCTAAGTGTATGAAAGCGTCCTTTAGCATTTCACATTCATCTGGTGCAATGTAATCCTACACACTATCCCACCTATAAAGCGATATAAACACATCTGTTATCTGTACACACACAGAGCTATGTGGTTGGCTGCAGAAACACATACAAAGAAAACAGCTCAAAGAAAATTAGAAACGCCCAGCACAGCGCCCAGCCTGGCTCTGGTGAAGCCAACAGCAGCTCCTCGCGCTGCCGCAGGAGGAGGCTCGCTCTAGGAAGCCTTTTCCTCAGTATCTGATACAAAACATTGCAGCAGCTATTCTGGGAGGGAATGGGGGGATGTGGAATTCAGCTGAACAGAAACAGTGGTTCCTGCTGTTAGGAAACAAGGGTCCAGAGAAATAGTCTGCTTTATGCAGAAAATCCTTAGAAATCGTCTGAAAACATCATGCAGAAAACTACTGCCGGGATATTGCGAGGCCCTGTGGGGAAGGCAGTCATTATAACCTGTCCAACAGGCTTAATAATCCTCATCATAAGTAGAGTCCCTTGATGTGGTCACATGTGAGCTCAGAACAGGGAGTTCTTGTGGTTTTTAACTGAGATTATGTCTGATATTAAAGAGCAGTTAATAGGTTAAGGCTATGTGAGAAGGACTTTGTGCACCACATACCGAGGTCCTTGAAAATTACTTGGCTGAAGTAAATCTGATGTGTGCAAGGGCTTTCTTTCTTCCCCTGAACTGGAGAGAGGACTATCTTATCGTGACTTTCTGCACAGTTACAGATAGTTTGATAAACTGGAGATACGGTGGGCTTTATTATGGCTAATGGTAGTTTATTTTAGATTAGTGCTTTCTGTGCTGAATCTTGCTTTGAATCTTGCTTTCTGTTTTGCAAGGGAACTAGAGTAGAGGGGAAGAGGACAGAGGCAGCCTCTTCCTCTGCTCTGGATAAGGGGCAACAGCACAGGATCAATGCCCGGAGGCTTAGAGAAGCATGAGAAGAGAAAGGCAATGAATGCTTCCATTCATGCACCACATCCCGTGCCTGAATAGCCTGCTGGCCTAACAGTGAGGCAGCCAAGGCTCAGACAGCACCGAGTTCACATGCTGCTTCTGCTTAGAGCAAAGCAGAAGGTAGCACATCCTTATCCTGCTCTGGATTTATACCTCAGTGAAAGCATCTCTGACTGCTCAGTTACTCCCTTAGAGCCCTGCCCAGGGCAGGATTTTGGGATTTGGTGTGCTTTCAGACTGTGGGTTCATAAACTTTGTACCTCTGCCTTTGAACACTGGGGAGTTCCAGGGATTTTCTTCCACCTGTCACCTGCATGGCAATGATAACTGCCAAAAGAAAGCCTGTTCAGACTTGTAACCTCCCATGTAAACACTCTGAAGGTAACATGGATTTCTTCACGAGAGGCTGTTCTGAAAAACTGAATTGCTCCAGGCCATCTGATGTGGAGGAGTCTTATTTTCAAGGACTTGGGAAGACTTTTCCCCTTTACTTCACTGCCAGCCTTTCTGGGGGGCAAAGTCAAGAGAATCTCTGCCTGTGTTCCCCAAACAGCATGTCTTTTACTCTGTTTGGTCAGCCTTGGAGACACATCTTAAAGTAGCACATATGAAGTGGTTTTCAATCCAGATACTTGACTATGAGAGGGTGGGATGGAACCCGTTCCCTTGTATTGCTATTTTCCTTACTGGCTAAAGTGCCTACTTGGGTTAAGAACATTTACTTTTTGGCAGTTTAGAATTAGCTCTAGCAAGAAACTTGGATTAGAAATGATCCAGAAGACTGTAAAGTGAAAGAGGTAGAACTGCTCTGGAGAGCTCAGAAATGAGAAGATCACAGTCTAACTCTGGCCAAAGCCTTCAACAAAACACTGCATCTCAGCCATAGGGGACAGTACAGAGAAAAAGAGTTCCCGGCTTGAATTCTCTTGAAGGAAATCTTCTTATCAGCTCCACTGACTTTTCCTTGAAAAGATTATCTCAAATAACTGCTAGTTCTCTCCAAAAGCACAGAGGAGCCGAAGTAAACTAGCATTTTGTTATTGAGTAGCTCTTTCTTATCTTTTGTTTTTAGTAGGTGGGTACAACCAAACAGTCAATTGTTCTAGGGGAAAACTGTATTCTTCCTGCTCCCAGCATGGAACAGAAGGCAGCCCTTCCAGGGTCTGTCCAAAGACTTAAAGGTCACTAACTGGATTCCTGAAGTTTAGATTCTTGGGTTTTGATGTGTCTCATTTTTTCCCTTAAATATTAACATTGTGGCAAACACATTTGCACTATGTGCATGAGGGACATTTGGAGTGAAATACATTACTTTTTTTTTCTCCATTTCCAAAAAAGGAAACCATAATATCTTACAGATTTAAACCAAAATGGAGAAGAAATATATTCTTACAGAAAACAAATATGACTTTATGGAAATACCATCATGAAAATTGGCAAAGATTCAAAAGAGAACAGAAGGCATCCAGAAATTCTCTCCCCAAGTCCTAGCCTGGAAGCCAAATTCTAAATGAGTTTTAGTTATCAAATTGTTTTATCTAGATATGCATTAATCGACAAATATTAAATATTCAGTTGTTTCTCTTTGGCCTGGTTGTCTTCTAATGGAGAGTATATAATGTATATTAGTATACATTAAAAACCAGGTTAATTTTATTTTAGAAAAGAAGGAAGGAAAGGTAAATGAGGAGAATCAGTTAGACTGTAATAAAATAACTATGTAAGAAAAATATTGACTCCTGATAAAAAACAGCTTAAGAGATTATTTCCACATTATACAAAAAGAAAGCAGAACAGACTGATCTACTTTTAGCCAGTGATTCAAATTTCTTACAACTCAGCAGTGACCATTCCAATAAAGTTACGCTGTTCTGTAACATTTTGCAAGACATTAAGGATTTCTGGAGACAGTACTCAAAGTCCCAAAAACAAGTTCCAGAGTTGTACTCCCACAATTCTTCGCACACCTGTTTTCCATGTAAAAACACCCTGTCAAAACATAGGACAGTTAATGCCTTGAAACAAAAGATTGCTGTATACAAATAGTACATAGAACATTTTAGACATACAAATCACGCTTCTAAAACAAAAGATCCTCTTATATCTGTGCAAGGGGCCACAGAGTATACAGAGATCTGGTGTGACCGACTTTTCCATCCTTTTCTCACCCTCAAATAAGCTTATCATTGTGCCTTAGCCAAAAACCCCAGGATTAGCTCGGTTGGTTAAAACCTAGTGCTAATAACACCAAGGTTGTGGGTTTGATCCCTGTATGGGCCATTCACCAAAGAGTTGGACTCAACGATCCTGTGGATCCCTTCCAACTCAGAGTGTTTTGTGAAACTTCATCCAGGCAGCAGCCAGTTTCCCCGAGACATATAGGAGAGAAAGTATGCTGTCTACATGGAAGAGTATCTCAGTTAGGGAGTGGCACTTGCACAAAATCCTTTACCTTTTTTAGTACCAAGTGGCACAATCCAGTTGAACACATTTTAACCCCACAATTCAGTCCTTAGCAAATAGCACAAAAGACTCGCTGTCACCATTTCTAGCAACTGTTCTCTTACATCTTAACGGAAATGAAGGGTTTTAACAGACCCTGCCTTCACGTTTGCTCCACATTGCATACACAGTACTTGTGCTTCTCTTCAAATCATGGTTGTGTTGCCTTTCTCCCTCCTGATCACACCTGAAATCCAGCATGGTGGGCTGTGGAGTTAGTGCAACAGATACAAGCTGCTGATCTGACAGTGCTTTTAGCTCTCTAATGGAACTTCTCTCCCAGCTGGAGGCACTGGACATGACTGCAAGTGTACAAGGACTGTAACCATGGCAATCCCACTTTGCTTCTGGTAGTTGGTTTAGTAAAAGCCTGACACAGACTACTGTAGGTCATGTATGTCATAAATGTTGAGGCTTTAAAAGGTCACTTTTTAAAACTTGATTTAGGACTTACTGTGCAAATCAGAAACACATTTTTCTCTACCATTGGCTGTTTTAAGAAGTATAGCAGAGATAAGCACTAAAATTATCTTAATAAGTATTTTCTATAACAGATTGCAATGCCTCTTTTAACCTTACATAGATTAGAGCAAGTTGGATTCACACTGTCCCTGCAATGCATTTTACATGTTAACTTGGACACAGGGAGAGTCTTCCCTTCCAGTCAAGCAAGGGACATAAGAGCT